AGGATGGCAGGGAATGGCATCCAGGAGTGGGATGGGTGGGTGAGTGGGGCCAGGGCCAGGATCTTGGGGAGGTAACAGCATGTGACCAGAGCTCTTAGCAGAGCCATGATCCGCTGCCTCCATGTCCCTGCAATGGGCACAAGTTCTGTGGGCAGGGCTGTACCAGGAGCACATTGCGGGTCTGCCCTGGGCTCTGGCTGTGCAGCATCACTGCCCCAAGATCCTAGCACTAGCCCCATCTTGCACCCAGATGCCACTCCCCACCACCCATGGCCCCATCCCATCTGCCCAGCAGAGTGTATCCTGTCTACTTGGGTACAAGCCAGTCTCTATAGAGATCCCAGGGCCAGGATCACCAAGTGGTGACAGTGTGGGGCCAAACACCAGGACAGAGCCACTTAAGGGGTTTTGGTGAGCTGCTGCATGTGGTACTGACCCAGCCTGCAACAGCTCACAAAAGCTCCCTAAGTGGCCCTCCAGCCCAAATAATTGTCCAACCCTGACTTAAATAGTAGCTTAGCACAGTATGCCATGCAGGTTCATCGTAGGGCCAACAGGAGTCCACGTGGGTGTAACAGGCCCTTAATGTGTGGTAACGATGGAATGGATGCTTCTTTCTGTCTCTCAATTAATTCCCAGCAAAAAGCACAAAACATTTTAGGAAACCAAATACTGGATATTTTTGTCTTGTTGTTTATTGTGTTTTATTAGATCTATGAAATGTCTGTAATTGTGTGTGTGTCATGTAGCTTCGCATCAAGACAGAGATTGGTTTTGCATTCCAACTGCTTTCTCTATACTGTCACTACTTCTAACAATTAAGGAATCAATACTTTTTTTTTAAGTGCTGTTAAGTTGGTTTGTGTTTCTCACAACTTCAACATTTAATCTTTTAAAAAAAAATCCTAGAGACCCATTTCTCTGTCCTGAGTCCCAACACATTAATTTTTAAATGTCCATTTTCATACAAAGACTAGCACTTCCTCAGTAGCGGATATGAAGGCTACAATTGCTAGATTTGACAATTCTGCCAATGTGCTAGTATCACGACTACTGCTGCTACTTTTGCTCTTCCTTGTGTGGCAGGTGCCTCAGTTGAATAGAGGAGACCTTAGAGGGCAAATGCCTTTAGGACACAGTAAACTAACTGCAGCAGAAGAAATATGAAGCAGCAGCAATGAAATAAAATGTCAGCTCAAAGGGAGAGGAAAGATGCCCTTAATACAAGGACAAAAATACACAAATGTACTTTGTAAATACTACAAAGAAAATAAATAGCACAGAATATGAATGTCAAGAGAGAGAAGCACACTGACACAAATTCAGGTCAGTGTGATTAAAGCAGCAAATAATTATCTTGGATGGAACATAGAGATATGCTAGAAACAAATTTAAAAAACCCCCAAACCTTATCAATTATTTTTAAAAAACAGTATATAATTCCTAGTGCTGTTCTGACTTTTAAACACCACACTATTTTTATTATTTTGCAAAATAACAAAAAAATAAAACCTTTTATTCAACTAGTTCCTAAGAGAAATATAGTCCAAGTGGCCTCTAATACCATGTGACTTATTCTGACCAATCATAACCAACAAGTTTATCTTGGAAACAGAAATATTAAGATATATATTTGCCATAAAAAGTTACAATTATCTTAATAGTTAAAAGAATTCTACGATACTTGAGATGTAGCTAAGTTTTTCACTTTAAAAAATGTTGAATTTTCATGGGGAGACCAAGGATTAAAACAGGAAAATAGTAATGAGTGAGACTGTAGTCATGATAGCCCAGGAAATACGTGAGGGGCAAGGATTTTTGTGGATAGCCTCTTTTATTGGACCAATTGCACAGTTGGAATACATTTAGACAAGCTTTTAAAGATAACGCAGTCAGTGCATTATTCAGAACTGAAGAAGAATTCATTGCAGTTAAAAGCTTGCCTAAGTCTATCCCAACCATGGAGTTGATCCAGTAAAAGATATCATCCACAAAAATCCTTGCCTTTCATAAAAGCCAACAAAATACTTTATTGAATAAAAAATTGCCAAGTTACTGCCCAGTCAATCTCTGTCAGCATCATTACTTTTGCTATATGAAACAGTATGCACATAATTTGTTTCAAGTTCTAACGTACCTGATAAAGCACATGAACAGGTTCAAAATATTAGCTTACCTTGCCAAAGCTTCCCTTCCCAATTGCTCGGAGTATCTGGAAGTGGTCAAAGTTCACTATTGAATAAAAAAAAAATGAGTTTTACATTCTAATTTCCAGGTGATTTCCCAACAAGTTCTTAAAGTTAAACATAAGAGAAAGTCCAAGATACCCAACTGAAACAACCGATCGGTATTTCACTAGTTGGACAAGTTATTGCTAACACGATCCATATATTCTACAGAATATAAAAAAACAGTGATTATTTACAGAAAACCAAAGGAAACAGCTCTTTTTATCAGACTGAAGTTCGACGGATTGCCTTGTGCACCCCGTCTCCCTCACCATGATATCTAATATCTTCAATTTTCTTACTCTTGAGGTTACTCTCATTCCAGAATCCTGGATTTCTCTTACATTGCATATTAAAAAATAAAGCCAACATAACTAGAGGTCAAATACTAATCCTTCCAGTGAGTAATACCTCCATCCATAAGCAACCCAACCGGGTTTGTGACCCACTTCTGGTGTGGGTAGAATTTTCATAGGGTCACAACCTGCTAGGATAGGTACTTTACAGATATGACCACTGTAATAAATAGGAATTACTTGAATTAATTTATGCATTCATATAAATAGATTTGATACAGTTTGAAAAAATAATAACTGTAAACTATAAAAAAAACAACAACCCAAAAGAGTGAATGAGCAGTTGTGGTTATGGGCTGCATAGAAAGGAGAAAATCGGGGAAACATCACAATTAAGTAACTGTAAACTCAAAGTCCTATTGTCAAATAAACACAGTTTTTGTATATTTAAACTTACAGGTGGCTCTTGTCCTTGCTGTTATTGCACACAAAGTGTGCTGTCACACTGCATAAGCACAGGTCAGTACTGCCTATGCGTACCCAGCAGCCAGAGTGGATGTTACTTATGCTATCAAAAAGCCAATGTTGTGAATCTGGGCCATTGACTTCCATTTGCTTGATTTGTATATCCATCTGTATTTTGTATGTTGGTGATTCCAGAATAATGGGCAAACAGAATGGTGTAGATATAACACTTTAATTATGTATTGTGTTGCCAAATCAGCAACCACTACAAACAAAAAAAAATTACTACTAACCCACTGCTGTGATCTCAACAGTTTATCTCAAACAAGCAAGAGGCTGGACCCGATGACATGCAAGGTCCCCTTCAGCCCCTACCATTATGAAACTATGAAAGGATGTTATTTAGTCCTATCTAAAAGATGCTATATAGTCCTATCATTCTATGTAATTATGCAATCCCTATTACTATACATCCCGAGTATCTTGCTGATATTAATAAATGTATCATTTATCATGCTACAAACAGAGAGCAAGGGGTCCAGTTTACCAGTGGGGAACTGAGACACAGAGAGGTTAAATGACTTGCTAAAGGTCACACAAGAAGAGTATGGCAAAGCCAGGAATTTAATATGCCAAGTTCCCTCCAGTGCCTTTAAACTCAATAAGCTTCTTTCCTCTCTAAAGGGTCTAATCCAAATGCCATTTCAGCCAATGGAAAGGCTCTCGCTGGTCTTGAGTAAGGGATCTCCAAAGATATAATTTACTATTAAACAATAATATTTTTTTTATTGAAAAACTGTTCCAGCTAAAACACCTGCCTAGCCTATATCCCCCAGAGCTGGCACACATCTGGCAAGAGATTCAAATTGTGCATACTCCAACAAATCTATTTTTTTATACATCCTTCTGTAAGAAAATTGACAAGAATCCAGTTAGACTAAAGTGGGCAAGTTTTAAGCCCACAAAATATGTTTTTGGGTAATTAAAATAAAGGACAATGCTTATGTTCTGAGAAGCTCCTAATGTTGCTTCAGCAGTAAAACTTCCAATGACTTATTTATTATGAAAATCCATCATTCCTAATGTATTAAACTGAGATGCTGTGTTTAAAAAAAAGATATATTTTTCTTTATCCATTACTACAAATGAGCTAAAAGGCACCTTCTACTTCATAGTCAAGAGACAGCTCAAAATATGCACATCCACTATGTATAGCTTGAACCAATCTGTAAGGAAACATTGTATTTAATCAATTGAATAGTCAGTGTTTATTTACTTAAAGCACAAATGAGGTATTAGGAGCTACTGCTCATTTTTCTTCACTTGCATAAATTCCTTATAGAAAAGCTATGCAAAGGGGGTTCTAATAAAGAAAAAAAACAAGCTGCAACATTTTTTAAATCTCTGCTAGCAGCATATTACTTTTTGTGCACAATGCATATTATTTCTAAAAATGACAACATATCTCTACAGAGTATGTGATTATCCCTGAAATAGAAGTCTTAAACTTGCCTGGAACAATTATGTATGCTCTGGAGATTTCACTTTTTTGTGAGTTGACAAGAGGAATCTGTCTTTCACTAACAACTAGAATATCTTATTATTTTGGGATGATTTGTACTAGCCTGAGTCATGTATAAATGCTAGTGAAGAATTTCATGACACATACTCCCAACAAGCAAGGAGATGACAGCTGTTGCCTATTCACAGGACCATATTCACCCACTACATTGACTTCAGTGTGGCATAGTTTTGACATTCACAATCTGTAAGTACAATAATGGTTTTGGCTTGACGTTTCACTGAAGGAACCTATGGGGGGAGGGGGTGAAGCTGAAAACTTTTCTATAAATGATAAATTAAATTGAATGTAGCAAAATAATAGAACTAACTTTTTGATAACCTTGCAGATAAATACTACCTCTATGGGTTGAACTTTCCCAAAAGCTACTTAGAGCCTTGTAAAGCAAATAAGTTAATTGTTCCTATTGACTTTTCTGACAACTTATTATCAGTAAGTCACCTTTTAGTTAAGCGGAACTGTAGAATAGAAAGCTTTCACATTTGTCATGAGAGGCAAGTGTCCTCCCTATGAGATCTTTACTGGCCTCAGCAAAAAACCCTGAGTCATCAATGAGATTAATATGCAGTGTTTTTGATGACTTTGGCACAGGCTGTTTTTTGTTTTTAATTTCAAGGAACGCACGCAAAGCAGAGGAGTGTCAGGTTGTGATGCTGCTGTTGAACTTAATCAAACCTTAGATTATACAATCCGCCCAAAAACATGATGCTCTCTTCTACTTCTCAACAGTGATTTAATAGCAGATGCACCAGTATGCTATTTAGTAACTGACATCCCATGGTTTTTACAAAATCTGTTACATTACCAAGTGGAACTGAATTCACAGCTTCTCTTTCCCAGTATGTAAGCTTCAGTCTATGCTATTTCTTTTTGTACATAATTTTTAAGCACATGGATTCTTAGGCATCAATTAAGTGTGCGTATCTAGGACTTGGTCAGGACTATGAATGTTTCCCCATAATTTTTATGTAAATTTATTTCTCTAATTTATTCAGTGTTTATACGATACAAGAGCTAAAAATATGGCAAGTAAAAAATACAGCACAGTCTTGTTCTTATGGCCTAATTAGTAGGCATATCACAATATCATAACTTGATTTAGGGGTTTGCTGGGACAAGGACTGGTCCTCTAAAGTCTGGCTAGAGATGAGCCTGAGGCAAACAGCTCTGAATCCAAATGCCTCCATACTGAGACAGTGCCAACCCCACAATGGATCTGAACATCCCCATTAACCGTCTGAGACACAAAGCAGATACACAACGCATGTTTACACCTAATACTGCAGGGTATTATGGAAGGACCCAGCTCCCTTTAAAAGAGTCCTGACATAGAAGCATAGGCTCTGTGTTGGCTAAATTATCCTGCACCTCAATATGGCAAATAGCTATGGCTAGACTGATTCTACTACCCAAACTAACCTGTTTAGAGTTATCTTAAATATCTCTATACTACACTGCAGGCATTGTGGGACGGATCAGGAGTTCTGTAAAGCACTGTACCATAGAGAAGTATAAACTCTTTCCAAATCACGTTAGCATTCTGAGTGAATCATAGAAAAGTAGCCTTGGTGTGGACCTCAGGAGGTCACCTAGTCCAATCTCCTCCTCAAGGCAGGATGATCTATAATTAACTCACCCTAAACAAGTGTGTGTCTAGCCTGTTCTTAAACTTGGGGAACAACTCCCTCACACAGCTACTAAGCACAATGCCCAAAACATTTAAATTCCCTTTTAACTTGCCATAGGTTAAGCAGGGGGATGAAGGCAATGTTGATGTCCTACTACTGGAAGGACAGGAAGTAGTTTGTTAAAATATGCTCAAGAAATCCAGGAAAGAAGATAATGCCTCCCCCCAAACCCTGCTACAGAAAAAGGTGAAAACTCCCACAGTCCATGCCATTTGACTATGGGATTAATTTTTTTCCCCCGATCTCAAATACAGTGAATAGTAAAACCCTGAATGGAGGAGTCATTCCTCCATTCCTGGGTTTTCTAATTCCCAGCAGGACTGGCAAAATCCCCACCCAGTGTTTCTGAGAAAGTCAAAAAAAGAAAGAAAAAAACAGATCTCAGTAGCAATCAAGAAGGGGGAAAATTCCTTCCTAGTTCTGTGTGGGAATGAGCACAAGCCTAAAAACATGAGTTAACCAGACACCATCTATTCTACAGAGAGCTAGGGATCACTAACACAACTCCATGTTGCACTCAAACTCCCTTTCTGTCATCCTACACCAGGGGTGGGCAATTATTTTAGGCGGAGGGCTGCTTAGTGAGTTTTGGCAAGCTGTCGAGGGCCTCATGGGAAGCCTTGGGGGGAAGGCCCAGCCCCACGACCCCGCAGTGGCCTGGTGGCAGCTCGCCTCCCCTGGCCCTGGGACAGGCAGGGAGGTTGCACCAGGAGCTGGAGTGGAGCCATGGCCACTTTTCTGCTTCAGAAGCTTCTGCTGCTTCCAGGAGGCCAGGGGCCCCAGGGAAACTCCTGGCTGGCACCAAGCGCAGTGCAGGGGGCTGCCTGAGGCTGCTGGAGGTGGCACAACCCAACAGGGATGTGGCCCAGGACAGGGAAAGCCCAGGGAGGTGGCATGGAAGTTGCATCCCATGCCTGAGACTTGGGATGGCAATGGCCTGGCTGCCCCCACCCCATGGGCAGCCCTGGTAG